AAAAAAAAAAAAAAAAATGACCATTAAAATGGTGGAACAAAATGCAATTGATGATCCAAATCATGTACCAAATAATAGAATTTGTACAACAGACAAAGCATCACAAAAGGATACAGGAAGGACAGATAAAAAGAAAAGAAACTCACCCCAACCACAACATGGTCGGAGAAAACATCAATAGCTGCAAGAATACCCCTGAGAAAGAAAAAATGAATGAAGAGTTTATAAAAATAAATGAGATGTTGGTAAAGGGATACATTCCGAGCGAGCAGTCCCAGATCAAATCCTATAGTGCACATGTGTTGGTATTTTTCTTTCTTTTTGCATGAACATACATTGTTTCTTCTTGTTAATTGAGCTATGTAAAAGTTAATAAATAAATAAATAAATAAAGAGATTTGTCCACATGTGTTGTCATGCAGTGTTAATCATATTTCCACCATGACGGTATGGCGTGGCAGATATCTGCAATTCCACCATTATAAATTTCAAATGGATCGCAGTTATGGCGACACCACAGGCCGCCATGGCAGTATTTCAGCCTGCCGCCATTTCCCACCACCCACCATTTATAATGCTGTTGCCTTGATTAAATTTCCCCCACTGCTTTGAAGTGAACTAGCTCTCACATATAAATTTTCAGTTCAATGAAAATAAAACAATTTCATAAACCATAGTGACAAAAAATATCATAACTCTATTGCAGAACGCATTCTATGGCTAAAACAACATAATGAAGCTATTCTTCAGGGAAATGTTTTTTCCCTTTTCTGGTCCGTCTTCTTTACCAGAGGGAGATAATGAAGAAGAAAAATCCTTACGTTAATGATCTCCCATGGAAGACGATTGGAGGGGCAATTGCAGCAAGAATGCAAAAACCAATGTGTAGCTGCACAAAATTGAACCAAAGGCATCAAAATAAAGAAGATATTGCATACTGCTGTTAGCCTGTTATACGTCAAGGGGTCACCAGCATACATACCAAATAAAACAAGAAAAACCAGCCAAACTTCAGTGCACTATCAGTCCTGTGTATCATAATCACATAACACTGGGGCGTTATTTCAAACACATCAAGAGTCTAAAAAATATAGATGATGATAATGGCGATGATGATGATGCAATGCTGTGTCGAGTACCTCATTGCACGATACAAAGGCCTGTACCACAGTACATATGAAAGGGGACAACCCATCAGGGCATATATAATGGCAAGCAAGAAGATCCTGACTCCTACAAGCAGAAAACATCATTTAATGTCGATGGATCAAGAGCACTAGAAAAAGAAAATTAGCAAAGTAAACAAGACAACTTACCACCACCCCTTATCCAGCAAACAGTGATTGCAATGACATTGAAAACAAGGCAAAGGACAATACCTGAAACCAAAGCCCATCGAAGAGAACGTTATAATAAATTTCCATC